CAGTGACATCATGTTGATAACTCTGAAACCAACCATGGTGAGAGTATTACACCATAGAAATTGGTAAATGCTACAAATCAGAGTTTGATTTATTATTATGTTGACTTTCTACACTTAAGAAAGTGGTGAAAAAAATATTAACTGCAGATTAAATTTGGAGTGTATTGGGTCTGTAGCTATTGCATTGTGAATAATATAAAAAACTTGAGGAAATATTCTTCCAGTATTGGAAAACTACTATCCAATTCAGCAAAGTCACTTGACTAGTGAAGTTCCAAAATATGTTTATTGTTTCACTTTCATCTTACTATTAATGTAAATGAAAATATCAACTAACATTCATCTTGGAACTATACTCATTCATTTAGCAACTGCAACCGTTAGTTGGCTACAGATACAAGTTTGGCAAAAATCAATTAAAGCATTCTGTGAGAATAAACTGGCCATCTGGAATTTACAATAAGGAATATTGTATATTTTATTATTATTTGTGAGTTGTGTGCTATACATCATTTGTATCAGTAAACTTTATGGGTACACATACATACACACACTTTCCCTGGAGAACCAGTTGTTAAATATTTACCAGCACACCACTGCTAATACACAACTCAAACTTAGTATGTCTAAAACTGAGCTCTTGATTTCCCATACCAAGCCAGTTGCCCCTGCAGATGTCTTAATTAATGGCAACTTCATTCTTCCAGTTACTCTGGTGAAAACCCTTAAAGTCATCTGTGACTCCTCTTTCTCTCATACCCATATCCAACCTATCAGGAAAACCTTTGCCTCTACTTGCAAAATATATATAGGCTCTGATACTTCCCACCATCTCTCCTGCCATCACTTTGGTCTAAGCCTACATGTTCTCTCGTGTGGATTACTATAATAGCCTTCTGACTGGTTTCCATATTTCAATACTGCAGTTAAAATATAAATTAGAAATATCATTCCCTTGCTTAAAACTCTTTAATGGCTTCCCATCTCACTCAGAGTCCAAGCAAATATCTTTGCAATGGCTTATAAGACCCCACAGTATCTGCTCCCCCTCCCCTTACCTTCTGACGTCATCTTTTGCTACTCTTCCCCTCACTCACTCCACTTCCTCTACACCAACCTCTTTGCTGTTCTCCAAACACATCATACATGCTCCTGCCTCAGGGTCTTTGTACTTGCTGTTTCGTCTACCTGGAATGTTGCTCTTCTTCCAGTTTGCCCCATTGTTTGCTTGCTCTCTTCTGGTCTTTGCTCAAATGATACTTCTACTGTACTATATGTTCCATACAGTAAATGTCAGTTATTATCCCCCCTACTAGAATGTAAATTCAAGAATTTTTGTCCATCTTTTTTGTCTATCTTATTAACTACATGTTCCTAGACATTAAAATAGTGTCTTGTACATAGTAGGTGGTTGACAATTTGTTGAATGAACAAAATATTAATGAGTATTCTAAATGCCCATAAAAAGTTTCTTTGAGCTTATTATGAGAAAGAATTACAGGGGATCCAGAAGTGAGTCCTCTACTCTTCAAGGTGCTCAGCTGAGAACTGCATGCATTTGTTTGTGCCTGTGGGTCTCCCACTTGTGTACATGGACCACCTGGGAATAGCTGTGCTCTTTTAGAAACACCAACAATTCATAGTGGACTAAAAATAAAATGACAAACTATACACTGTGGGCTAAAATCAATAGCATCTCATATCAGACTCTAGCACAGACAAGTAATAAAAGTTACCAGAAAGTCTAAGAAAAATGAATATTTACTGAGTAGTTAGTGTGCGCTAGGGGGACACAAAGATGATTCAGATGTAAACCTGCCTGCCCCCAAGGAGTTCACAGTCTGGTGGTCATGGAAACAGACAACTATACCATATTATCATCAGCCCACCAACAGGAAAATGGACTAGTTACAAAGGCAACAGAGAGGAGAGAGTAATTAAGTGTAGTAGCAGAGGGAGACAATATCTGAGCTGAGTTCTGAAGCATGAATAGGGGAGCAGGGAAGGGCCCAGGAGAGAGATTTACAAGTGAGAAATATTTCACTACTTTTTTCCCCCTGCTTAGTAGAAATGCCTACCTATCTGGATTTTAACAGGAAATAGCTCAGCTAAGCTTGCAAAACTCTGAGTTGTGTGGAGCAGAATTTGAGAACCCCTGGGTATTGGGACATGCAAGGAAAGGCTCAGTGAAAGGGACAGATGGCAGGAAGGGAGAACAGCAGCTTCACAGGGGCAAAATAGAGAAGATGGGACCATTTAATACCATAGGACTCATCAAAGGCTCAAGGCTCCAACAGAGAAAGGGGAAGGAGTAGAAAGGGCAGGAACACTTTATTTCCTGCCCTTGGCCATTGTTTGGAGCATGCATTGTCTTGTTTTCCATCTCTCCTCATAATGTTTTCTGTTCCTGAGTGGAGAGGCTACCTTAATAGTGCAGAAAGTTCCCATGTTGACTCTAGAGGCCTGGGTTTGAGTCTTATTAACTGTATGATCTCATGCCCAGTTTCAAAACCTTTGCTCACCACATAGCCTAGAGAGTAAAATCCAAGCTCTTTGGCTTGGGACTGAAGACCTTTCTCTATCTGGCCCCAATGACCACACCAATCTCATCTGTCCCATACCCCTTCTCACCCCAAAGAGCAAAGCACTTCTCCTGAGCTCTGTGCTTTCACAGACACTGCTCCCTCAAGCTGACCTTTTTGCCCACTCCACCCCCCACCTCCCCATTCTCAAACTAGAGAATTCCTATTCCTCTTTTAAGACATAACTCTGGGGTTATCACCTGAGGTTATCACTTTTCCTGACTGCTAGGTTAGCAACTGCCTCTGGGCCTCAGAACCCCAGATCTTCCTCTACTCCAGCATCTGGGGCACATCTGCTCTTGTCCCTTCCTATCTACTCTCCACAGAGCAGCCAGAGGGATCTTTCTATAACACAGGACTCACAGTTCCTCCCCCACTAAAAACAACAAAAAAACTTCATTTCTTAGCTTAAAGACCATAATCTTTACTATGACCTATCAGGTTGTGACCTCACCCCTGCCTGTTCTACACCTTCTCCTCTCACCCTTTGCTCTCTCTGCTCCAGCAGAATCCAGCCTTCTTTGTTTCTCAATGCACCATGCTTCTTTCTCCTCAGGACCTTTGCACTTTTCACATAGCTAATTTCTACTCATTTTTAGAGCTCAGCTCAAACCTTCCTTCTTCCAGGAAGCCCTCTTTGTGCCCTGCCCCACTTTTCACCCCCAAGGTTAGTTTAAATGGTACTTACCACTATAGTAATTTTAGAGCTATTCATGAATTATTTAATACCTGTGTGTCCCCGGGTAGGAACCACACTATCTTTGTTCATCACTGCAATAAGAGGCACCTACAGCAGAGCCTGGTGTAGAACAGATGCTCAAGAAGTATTTGTTAAATGTCTGTAGGAGTGCTTACCTAAGCATTACACAAAATCTCCAGTTTACCTGGCTTCTCTCATGGCAGCCTGTGAGCTCCTGGAGAACTAGTACAGTGTCAGTACCCAGCACCATACTTGGCATTTAGTGGGGCTCAGTAGGGGGTTTCTGAATGTGGCAGTCATTAATCATGTGCTGCCCAGATCCCAAATCAGTGAAGACAGGACACCAGTGCTGTCAGTGGAAAGCCTTTAACTGTCAGCCCCTCGAGGGACAGGGCCACCTTGCTCCTGTCACACCTCTTCTCAGATGACCTCACATCCAATGACAGTGATATAAAAGCCTAGTCAATTTAGTTTATCTGGGGACAACTTTGATGGGCCATTCTAGCTTGAGTCACTGTGGAGTCAGCCAAACTGCCCTTGGGCCTGCATGGAGCTCTGGACTTCTGCACACTCCTGCTCCCGCCTCTCACTTCTATGGGTGTTGATCCCCAGGTGTTTCCTCATAAACATCCTGCTCTGCAATCCCATCACAGAATCTGCTTTCCAGGAACCCAACCTGTCACAGGTCCTCCATCTCTCTTCCCCTTTTCCATGCCATCCCTTTCAGGAACCATTCATTCATTCACTCAAAGTTTGTAGACACCTTTCAGCTGACAAAGTATTTCACATCCATTTTTCTGTATCTCCCATTCTATACTGCCTACCTGCTGCCAGAAGGGAGGCTAGCCCCACCGAGCAGACGGAGAAACTGAGGCCCTGAAAGGAGGTGTGACAGCCTGAGGCCAACGCGCTCATTAGAAGCTGGCCAGCAGATCCAAACTTTCCCCTCTTTTCCCTACCAAGTCGCTGCGTCCTACAACCAGAGAACCTCAGTGAACTAAATTATGGTCTTGATGGTCAAAATCCTGGAATCAGGGCTTTGGGGTCCCGGAAGGCGCGCGGGGTCCAACGCTTTCCTAGTAAGGATGGGAAACCGAGGTCCAGAGCCTGACTCTCCAAGGCTCGCAGAGAAGAAGGGGGCGCGTCCTGCCTCGCGGGCCGGGTGGCGCCGGAGCCGCCTCCTCCCGCCCCCACGCCGGGTCCCCCGCCTAGTCTTCGCCCTCGCAACGCGGCCACCTCGGGAGGGAGTCATGGTGGCGGCCCTGGGGGCGGCGTGGCTGCT